TTCTCTTCCTCCTCTTCTTCTTCTTCTTTTTCTTCTTCTTCTTCCTCCTCCTCTTCCTCCTCTTCCTCCTCTTCCTCCTCTTCCTTTTCCTCGTCCTCCTCCTCTCGGATCGCCTTGATCCCGCCGGTTGAAGCGTCTTCGTGATCAGAGCCCAGCCGATCGTTGTCCCCGGGACGAGTCTGCGGGGTGGTTGAGGCTGCCGGTCCTTGTGCCTCGGGCAAATGTGCCACGGAATCTGGCTCAAGCAACGAGCCTAATCCGATTGAGGATAAATAGTAAAAGAAGTGATTCCTCTTTTCTGGCACATCCCGACGGGATCTTTCGACTGACCTGCGCAACTGGGACCTGGTGCTTTCGGTTGACGCCCTCAGCATTGCCACTCGTTGGTCTCTTTTCTGGCTCCTCTTCTAACCTGAAAAAAAGCATAACGGAAAGTTAAGCTGTGCAAGAGTGATGCAAACTGAAACTGAAACCGAAACCGAATTGGGTATGTGAAGGAGTGGACAGGGTCTACTCAACTCTACTCAACTTTACTCAACTCTACTCAGCTCTACTCAACTCTATATAACTCTACTCAACTCTACTCAACTCTACTCAACTCTACTCAACTCTACTCAACTCTACTCAACTCTACTCATCTTTACTCATCTTTACTCAACTCTCCTCAACTCTACTCAACTCTACTCAACTCTACACAACTCTACTCAACTCTCCTCAACTCTACTCAACTCTACACAACTCTACTCAACTCTACTCAACTCTACTCATCTTTACTCAACTCTCCTCAACTCTGCTAAACTCTACTCATCTTTACTCAACTCTCCTCAACTCTACTTAACTTTACTCAACTCTACACAACTCTACTCAACTCTATAGGTTTGAAGATAGGTTTTGAAGAGTAGTCACCTAGGAGATACATTTTCTTGTATCTTTAGTTTTGTCCGAAAAAACGGACGGGAGGAATTCATCAATTGACCTTAGCGAACATCGAAGAAGAAGAAGGATTTGTGGGTTTGTGCGAATCACTCCTACCACATGGATTCATCCAAGCTGATCTTTAGTTCGTTCTGTGGTGAGTGATGTCATCCGCTAGAGAAAATGCTTTTTATTTATCATTTATTCTTCACTCCATTATTTAAGTGTTATCCAAAATTCAGTGAAATCTGCGGCAAGAATGGTGGACGGCTATGCCTTAGCCTACTTGTTTTGACTGAATATGGCGATCTCAATGAGACGTATTATGATCTGATTAGTGGCTCCTTCATGCCTACACCACATT